TCTGTTGGGTTAATTAATTGTACATAAGTTATTCTACTTTAATCATATTACTTTAATCATATTATACTTACACATTTTGTTATCTCTATCTTACTCATATTACAAAGAGTGTTAAACATTCAGTTTTGTTTGCTGTGTCATTAATGTTTTGTAAGTCTGTACAGGAGGGATGCTGACTGCTGTTATCAGATGTCGTTAAGGGTGCGGAGGAACATGGAGAACTGTGCAACTAGATAAGGAGAGGGGTTCTCCTTATCCTATGATGTTGTATGATGGTGTACGAAAGTTCTGGTTTCAACTGGGTTCTGTTCCCTCCCCTTTTAGCGGTTGAAACCACATTGTAATCAGGGCGTTTCTTCAATAAAGAGCTTGGAGGGCAGATACTGCTTCAGAGTGGGTTTGGAGTTTGTAACTGAATGCAGTCTCTGATCCCCTCTCCTTGCAAGTAAATTATACTCAATTCTCTGTGTCTTCCTTTGTGCAGGTTGCTGAATAAGGTGTTTGGTGTTTAAACCTAACAATCTCAATCTGGACTCCTCCTGCTGCTCTCAAGGAAGAGCTGGAATCTCAAACCAAGGTCTGCCACACACAAGTCAGAAGCTAGACGCTGCTGCTGCTGAGCACTCTGCTGAACCAACAGTCTCTGGACCCAACCGGTTCCCTCTCTCACAAAGATCTGTCTGGACCTCTTCAAGGTATATTCTGAATGATCGAAATTCAACAAACCATCTGACTGCCTGGCTAATCAAACTATCCGTCTCTGCAGACATCAGTGAATCCTGTCCCGGACCAGTGCCCGACCCAGTTCATGTTCTTTGTGTGAAAACCATTAATAAACTCTGTTAAACTTTTACTCTGCTTCCAGTGGTGTTCTGCATGTGGGTTAAGTCTCTTAAGCCAATCATGACAGAACACTGCGGCCAAACACAAAACCCAGTGGATCACCTCCGGAGGAGGCTTGAGGAGCAAGCTGCCTAAATCCAAGGACATGCGCACACCCTCCGTGAGTTAAACACTCATATTGAACACCAGAATCAAGTTTTGCAGGAATATGTTGGCTACATGAGGAATGCTAATGCCACGCCAGCAGTACTTCCTGTTCCGGAACCACTTCTGCCACAAGGGTCACCGACAGTCACGTCATTTCCGGAGTTCCGCCCGAGCCCTCCTGAAAGATTTTCAGGTAACCAAAAGGATTGTAAAGGATTTTTGTTTCAGTGTCGTTTGCTTTTTGAACTCCCCCGTCAGTTTTCCGAATGATAGTAGGAAAATCTCCTTCATTCTCTCTCAACTTACTGGACGAGCCCTTGAATGGGCGGAGGCAAGGTTCTCTTCTGAGTCCAGCTTTTCATGTACCTTTTCTGAGTTTATATCTGAGTTTTCTCAAGTTTTCAACCATGACTCAGACAAAACTATTGATTCCCGAGCCCTGCTGAGTTTAAAGCAGGGAAATTCGACAGTGGCTGAGTTCTCCATTGACTTCCGGGTTAAAGCTGCAGCCTCAGGCTGGAACGAGTGCGCACTTAAGAGTGCTTATTTTAAGGCTTTAAATGATAACATCAAAGACGAACTCGTCACAATCGACGAACCTGCTAGTCTGGAGGATTTAATCCGTTTAACCATTAGATTGGATAATAGACTTCGGACTAGAAATAACTCTAGGCAAAGAAGCCTGAATTTTTCTGTTTATGCTCCCTCATTTAACAATGCTTCTGTTTTTTCTGGATCCCCAGAACCCAGTACTAAGCCAAAGACTAAGAATCAGACTCTTCCAGCGCCTGTCTAAATCTCTCACTTCTCTTCCTCAGAAGGAACGGAGGTCGAACCCATGCAAATTGGACACACAAGGCTATCCCCTGAAGAAAGACAACAGAGATTTAGAGGGAATCTTTGTCTGTACTGTGGTGAGACTGGCCATTTCATTGTTTAATGCCCGGCTAAATCAAAAGCCAGGGCCCATCAGAGGAATTGAGGAGTCTGACGGGCCATCTAAGATCTGAGAAAACTCCTCATTTATTGTTGCCTGCAACCCTTTTCTTTTCCAACCAGAATCTCACATTATCAGCATTCATTGACTCTGGGTGTGAGAGAAATCTCATTGATTCAGATCTGGTCCAGCAGCAAAAGATTGAGACTTTTCCTTTAACAAAGCCTCTCAGAGTATCTGCCATTGATGGAAAGAAGCTTCATCAAGTCACTCATCAGACACAACCTTTAGAACTTCTTATCTCTGGGAACCACCGTGAAATGCTAACATTTTTTGTTTTTCCCTCAGCATGCTCTCCTCTGGTGCTTGGATTCAAGTGGCTGGAACGTTACAACCCCCATATCAACTGGGCTGAACGCCACATTGAGTCTTGGTCCACTTCCTTTCACGAGTCATGCCTTCGTTCTGCGGCTCCTACTATTCAGTCCCCTAGAGGTAGGGGGAAGATGGACTCTCCTGACTTTACTTCTGTTCCACCCGAGTATCATGATCTGGCACCAGTCTTCAGTAAGGTCAGTGCGACGTCTCTTCCACCTCACAGACCATATGACTGCACCATTGATTTACTACCAGGAGCCCCTCTTCCCAGCAGTAGACTGTTTAACATCTCCAAACCAGAACGTGAAACTATGGAGAAGTATATCAATGAGTCTCTAGCCGCTGGAATAATTTGTCCATCTTCATCTCCTCTCGGTGCTGGTTTCTTTTTTGTGGGAAAAAAGGATGGTTCCCTCCGGCCCTGTATTGACTACACAGGTTTGAATCAGATAACCGTCAAAAATAAGTATCCCCTACCATTACTGGCATCAGCTTTTGAACCTGTTCAAGGTGCGACAGTGTTCACCAAACTCGACTATCATCTCCTTAGAATAAGAGAAAGGGATGAATGGAAAACAGCCTTTAAGACCCCCATAGGCCAATTTGAATACCTGGTCATGCCTTTTGGTCTTACGAACGCTCCTGCCCGCTTCCAAGCTCTAGTCAACGACGTCCTCAGAGATTTTTTGAATGTTTTTGTTTTTGTATATACCGATGATATTTTGATCTACTCTGAGAACCTCTCAAACCACAAGAAACACGTTCGTCTAGTTCTTCAGAGACTACTGGAAAACAAACTTTTTGTGAAAGCCGAAAAGTGTGAATTTCACCAACCATCTGTCACTTTTCTAGGGTTTGTGCTCGAAGGCGGGCAGGTGAAGCCATCCGAAGACAAAATTAAGGCAGTTCTGGACTGGCCAACACCTGAAAACCGTAAGCAGCTTCAGAGGTTCCTAGGGTTTGCAAATTTCTACAGACGCTTCATAAGAAATTATAGTCAGACAGCTCTACCCCTCACAGCTCTGACTTCTGTGAAGAAGACATTCCAATGGACACCTGAAGCCGAAAATGCTTTTAACTAAAGAATCTGTTTTCCAGAGCACCCATCCTTATCCAGCCCGATCCCTCTAAGCAGTTCGTTCTAGAGGTGGACGCATCTGACTCCGGTGTTGGAGCTGTATTATCACAACAGTCAGATTCAGATCAGAAAACTCACCCCTGTGCATTTTTTTCACGCAGACTCTCTCCGGCAGAACAAAATTATGATGTCGGAGACCGAGAACTTCTTGCCATTAAACTCGCACTGGAAGAATGGAGACATTGGCTCGAGGGTGCCGAGCATCCAGTATTGGTTTGGACAGACCACAAAAACCTGGCTTATCTCCAATCTGCTAAAAGATCCAACCCACGTCATTCTAGATGGTCTTTGTTTTTTTCTCGCTTCAATCTCATCATCTCTTACAGACCTGGTTCCAAGAACGTCAAGCCCGATTCTCTCTCTCGTCTGTACTCCACTGATCAACCTGAGACACCCGAGCTTGTTCTCCCTGCCTCATGCATGATTGGAGCCGTTTCCTGGGAGATCACTGATCTCATCAACCTAGCCCTGGCCTCTGAACCTGACCCAGGTAACGGTCCTCCAAACAAAACTTATGTTCCATCTTCCGTCAGATCCCGCCTCATCCAGTGGATGCACGCAGCAAAATTCTCCGCCCATCCTGGAGTGAGCAGAACCATTGCTCTCATCACAAGACCATTTTGGTGTCCCTTCATAAAGACGTTAAGGAGTACGTTCTGGCTTGTCCCATCTGCGCCAGAAACAAAACCTCTCACCAACCACCTTCTGGACTGCTGCATCCTCTACCTGTTCCAACCTGTCCATGGTCCCATATAGCAATTGATTACGTTACCAGTCTCCCGATTTCCAGAGGTATGTCCACTATCCTAACCATTGTTGACTGTTTTTCCAAGGCCTGTCATTTAATCCCCCTCAGGAAACTACCCACTGCATTCCAGACTGCCCAACATACCTGTGTTGAGAAGGAGAGTGGTCACAATTTTCCTTCTGTGCTTGTTTATTTCTTTTTTAGTTGTAGGAAAACAAATCTTTTCTTTTCCCAGGATTTTCTCAGCAAACTGTAAAAAGACATTAGATTTTTTTTTTTTAGAAAAAGACATTTTAAATGTCTTTACAGACATTGTATTGTACATTGCTAAGAGGCGAAGCAGCTTGAAACTAATCTAGATATTATAAGTTACATATATGAATCTTTTCAATTACACAGATATGTCTTTTTGTACATAACTATGTATTTTGCATATTTGGATGCATGCCTTCAAGGTGAAGAGTCCACATGATGTGCCATCTGTCTGTTTGCGCGTTTCCAGCCAGAACATGTGGTGACGTAAAAAACGCGCGCTCGCGTAAAATACGGGTTGGAACTGCACGTTATTGTACGGACGATTATTGGCCCAATCGGCTTGCCATACCACAATAGCGTCGTTGCGAGCACGAGGAGACCTGGAAGATTTAAGGCCAAACAAGAAAACCAGACAACCATCTCTTTTAAGATTCTGGTCCAATCCAACAGAAGGGTAAGAAGAAACCAACTTTATCACTTTATTTTCTATAGGCTTATGTCTATAATTTAAATAACACAGATTGAAATGTTTATATCTTTTCTATTCTTCAGTCGACCTGGCACAACTACAGAAAATGACCACAGCGTTGACCAGTATGAACGTTCTGATATTGGAGACACACAGATAAAAGGTATAAAGATTGCTAGAAAATGTTGATAATGAGAAAACATTATCAACATTGTTGATTGTTGATAAACAAGTTGTTTAAAGTTGCAAAGTAATGCAATTGTAGGAATACTTTAACCAGTAACGGGGAAGTTATGAAAATTGCAGGGTTTGATAAGTAATAAAAAGAGTGTACAATTAACAAAAATAAGCAACATTAGTTGCCATTGACATGCATACAATAGTTATTTTGTAGTGTGTATTTTTGGGTCTAAACCTGTACCACATGTGTTGTACTGTTAAAAATAAGAATGGTATCCTTTATGAAAACATTACAAACTTTTATCAATTGGTAAGGATCCAAATCAATGAATGCTCTAAGCACATGCTTGGAGTCTAAGGGAGTCTTGTTAACATTGTGATATGATAACTACAAATCTGGTGTTATTTGTTTTCAGTGCATTTAATATTTTACAATAAAAATACAATTTACTTTTAAGTATATTCAGTTTTGTGCACCTGGTGATATCTGTTTAGTGAATTTAATAATTTATGATAAAAACAAAACATTAAATTGTTTTGTGGCTCCTCCTGAGATTACAAGGTTCACCTGATCACAAAAATTATTTTCTTTTCCAGATGAACAACAAGGACCGTGTTTCGATGTAAAGACAACTGAAGAGCCGGCGCTCAACCAAGCGGATTTGCCCCAAACAACTTACGACATAGGTCAGTAATAGTTGTATTTTTTTCAATGTCAAAACAACTAATTTTGGTTTTGTTTTACACGATTTACTTTTTTGCTTAATCTTGAAATCTTACATTTCATAATAAAGCAAGACTATACAAAAGCTTCATGTAGGCAGATTTACAACTCCACCAGCAGCCATACAAAATTGACAATGTAAATATCAATCTTATTACAGATATATCAAAGGCCAAGGACCGGATTAGTGAAATGGACGACTCTGGAAAATTCCAGCTTCTTCAGACCAGAAAACCACCCAAATCTTTCAATTTCCCTGCCAGAGAATTTAAAGACAACCGAAGAGCCAGTGGGGTGACTAAAAGAACATGCCAGAGGGACTGGCTGGACAAGTATGACTTTTTTATCACTTTTACATCATATAAAGATGATCTACCATCAGGATCAACATATAGGCAGGAAGTGAAGTTGTGGCACACAAAGTGGTCATCATCAGTGGAAAAACCCAGCTCTCTCCCTGAAATTCTAAAGATAACAAATATCAAGTGCTACCCAATCATTTATATGATTCTTCACCTTCTGTCAGTCATACCTGTTACCAGTGCTTCTGTGGAAAGCGCTAACTCGTGTCTTAAAGCAGTGAAAACTTTGCTGAGGTCAACAATGGGACAGGAAAGGTTTGTGGCTTTGCTACTTTTGTATGTGCACAAGGACATTCAGTTAGACATCAACAAAATCATAGACATATTTGCCCAGAAAGTTGACATTTGTTAACCCATTATCATCATCATAAAGTTTGTAGTAGAGAACAATATTCTTTGTCTGGTTTAACTTGTTTTTTTTTTTTTTGCTTTTCAACAGTTTATCTTGTTAAAATATATTCAAAACTCCTCTGTCTTACTTGAACCATACTCGAACCCAAGTCCTTGGGGTTTTTTTATTTCATGTTCTGTGTAAATATCATTTCTGGAAATAAAGAAACTCCTTGTTTAATTGTTGATGAGGATAATTTTTTTCTTCAAACTACCTTTTAACCTTGTGCATGCTTAAAAAATGTAATGTAATCATGCTAATTCTACTTATGTTCATCCATTAAAATTATCAATTAAAAACCCTTGGATGAATAATTAGGGTAGCGTGAAAGAGTGAAGATGGTATTCTTTGGTCTTTTAGCCTCACATTGTCTTGACCTGTGACCCTTGACCCCGTGACCCCATGACCCCTAGGTGCGCACCCCCCTTTGAAAAATCCTGGATCCACCCCTGCATAAAGCATACATTTTTTATGTACCTTACTGCGTTTAGAGAAAGGTTCATACATAAGTGTAAGAAACACATTGAAAAAACCACTAACATCCAGTGATGATGCTTGTTGACAATTCCCAGAATTACACCATATTCCAATGGTTGTATCTAAAATTAATAATGTAACATGTTAGTAACTTTATTATAACAGCGATGAAACATTTACCCAATACATGAATAGAAAAACAAACCAAAACAAAGATAAAAATATATATATATTGTTACTAATCCAAATGATAAGTGCTAAATCCAGTTTAGTATTTATTTGAAAGATTTCGGAAGCTCTGGGTCAAGGCAGCAGTTATCTAAAAAAACGTGTGTTTAGATAAACAGATTGAGCCGTTTCTACTTGATTATTCAAAAGATAAAGTTTTCCCATGTGATGTCAGCCTATGATTAATAATAATACAGGTCTTTTGAACAAAGTGTTGGGAGCTGGAGAAATACACCTTTTCTCCAGCAGAGTCCGCCCTGGATCCTCCCTGCTGAGCTGCTCTGCACACCTGCAGCTGATGATCTCATCTGGAGGACCTGGACTACTTAAGCTGCCTTCAGACCTTGCCTCAATGCCGCAGTGTCTTAATCAGTTGGTTTCCTGTTTTTTCCTCCTGTGAAGCTCTGGAAGAGCTTAACCTGCCGAGCCTGCCCTCCGAGCCAAACCTGAAGACTCACTCTCTGGATTTCCTAGCAGCTCAGGTTTCCGAGCTGGAAACACAAGCCAAGGTCAAACCAGCCTTTAGAAGTAAGACGCTGAAACAGCTTAAGGACTCTGCCAAACCAAGCTTTCTCCGGACCCAACAGTTCCGCTCCCAAAGCCTCATCTACATTCATCAAGACACCAGTGAACCGGTCCCAGCCCTGAACCATTGCATCAGTCTTTATTATATGTTTGAACTTGCAAATAAACTCTGTTAAACTTTCCATCCGTGTCGTCAGTGTTCTGCATATTGGGCCTCCCTGATACCCATCATGACAGAACACTGCGGCCAAACACAAGGCCCAGCAGATCACCTCCTCCGTCGATTAGAGGAGCAAGAAGCTAAAATTCATGGACACGCTCTGGCTCTCCGTGAACTAAACACGCATATTGAGATGCAAAACCAGAGGCTCCAAAGCTACGCTAATTACGTGAGTAATGCTAACACCGCTCCAGCAACCCAACCATTTCCGGGTCCAGTTCCTCTGCCGAGGTCACCGGCTGTGACGTCATCCGAGTTCCGCCCAAGTCTCCCAGAGAAGTTTTCTGGTAACGTAACTGATTGCAAGGGATTTTTATTTCAATGTCGTCTCATTTTCCAGAACTCTCCTGGCAGTTTTCCCACGGACCACAAGAAAATAACCTTTATCCTTTCCCAGTTAACAGGAAGAGCTCTGGCTTGGGCTCAAGCCAGATTTGCCTCAGATGAAAGCTTAAGCTGTCACTATTCAGATTTCGTTTCTGAATTTTCCCAGGTATTCAACCAAGACACTGACCAAACCCTTGATTCTCGAGCTCTGCTTCATTTAAAACAGGGAAATTCTTCTGTGGCCGAATTTTCTATAAATTTCCGGGTTAAAGCAGCTGCTTCCGGATGGAACCAGGGTGCTTTAAAGAGTGCTTATTTCGAAGCATTAAACGAAAATATTAAGGATGAGTTGGCTACCCGCGATGAACCGGCTACACTCGAAGAACTAATCCAGTTAACTATAAAACTGGACAACCGAATTCGGGCCAGAAACAGCCGCAAACATAAGAGTTTGGCGTTATTTTCCTCTGCCCCCGCCTCTAATAACTTGACTGTTGTTTCTGCCCCCACAGAACAGTTATCCAGACCAAAGCCAAAGAGCCAGCCTCTCCCTTTGCCTGTTCAGGCTACTCATCCTGGAGAAACTGAAATGGAGCCGATGCAGGTTGGACAGACAAGGTTGTCTCCTGAGGAAAGGCAAAGGAGATTTTTGGGCAGACTTTGCATTTATTGTGGTGAGAGTGGACACTTCATTGCTTCCTGTCCAAAAAAAAATCAAAAGCCGGGGCCCGTCAGAGGTTTTGAGGAGTCTGACGGGCCATGAAGAAAATGAAAAACCTCCTCGTCTTTTGCTTCCTGCCACGTTGTTTTTCCTCGACCAGAGCCTCTCTCTTTCAGCCTTCATTGATTCTGGATGTGAACGTAATTTAATAGACTCTGATCTCGTCCAACAGCTCCAAATTGCTACGGTTCCTTTAACCCAGCCTCTCAGAGTCTCTGCGATTGATGGGAAAAAACTTCAACAAGTCACCCACCAAACTCAACCCCTTGAACTTCTAATCTCAGGTAACCATCGAGAGTCCATAACCTTCTTTGTTTTTTCATCCGCATGTTCCCCACTGGTACTGGGTTATGAATGGCTGGAGAAGCATAATCCCCATATTAATTGGGTCGATCGTCATGTGGAGTCCTGGTCCACATTGTGTCACGAGACCTGCCTCCGTTCTGCAGCTCCCGCTGTGGGGTCCCCTAGAGGTGGGGGGGAGATGGACGTCCCTGACCTTACTCCGGTACCCCCTGATTACCATGATTTGGCTCCTGTTTTCAGTAAGGTCAGTGCTTCGTCCCTTCCACCACACAGACCATACGACTGTGCCATCGAGTTATTACCCGGTGCTCCGTTACCCAGCAGTAGACTTTATAACATTTCCAAACCAGAACGTGAAACAATGGAAAAATACATTAACTAGTCGCTAGCTGCAGGAATAATTCGCCCTTCTTCATCCCCGTTGGGCGCAGGATTTTTCTTTGTTGGAAAAAAGGATAGTCTTTGAGACCCTGTATAGATTATAGAGGCCTGAACCAAATCACTATCAAAAACAAATATCCTCTTCCTCTTCTCGCCTCAGCCTTTGAGCCTGTACAAGGAGCCACCATTTTCACAAAGCTCGATTTAAGAAATGCCTATCATCTCCTTAGGATACGTGAAGGAGATGAATGGAAAACGGCATTTAAGACTCCTTTGGGCCAGATCGAGTATTTGGTCATGCCTTTCGGCTTAACAAATGCCCCCGCATGTTTTGAGGCCCTAGTGAACGACGTCCTCAGAGACTTTCTCAATGTGTTTGTATTCGTATACATTGATGATATCCTGATCTACTCCAAGAATCTATCTGAACATAAGAGACATGTCCGCCTGGTTCTTCAGAGACTTCTAGAGAATAAACTTTTTGTAAAGGCTGAAAAATGTGAGTTTCACCAATCTTCAGTTACCTTTTTAGGGTTTGAGCTCGAGGGCGGGCAGGTTAAGCCTTCTGAAGAGAAGATAAAAGCTGTTTTAGAATGGCCCGTTCCAGAAAGCCGTAAGCAGCTACAAAGATTTTTGGGCTTCGCTAATTTCTACCGGAGGGTCATCAGAAATTACAGCCAAACCGCCCTCCCATTAACTGCATTAACTTCTTCCAAGAGAGTTTTTCGATGGTCCCCCGAGGCACAAGCAGCTTTTGACAAACTCAAAACCTTGTTTTCCAGAGCTCCAGTCCTAATCCAACCAGATCCATCTAAGCAATTTATCCTAGAGGTTGATGCTTCTGACTCCGGTGTAGGGGCAGTTTTGTCTCAGAAACTCGACTCTGATCAACGAATCCATCCCTGTGCCTTCTTTTCCCGTAAACTCTCTCCCGCAGAACACAACTACGACGTTGGGGACCGAGAACTTTTGGCCATTAAGTTGGCTTTGGAAGAGTGGAGACACTGGCTCGAAGGAGCAGAGCATCCAGTCCTGGTGTGGACTGACCACAAGAATCTCGCCTACATCCAGTCCACTAAACAAGCTACTCCTCGACAGTCTAGGTGGTCTCTCTTCTTTTCACGTTTTAATCTCATTATCTCCTACAGACCTGGATCTAAGAACACCAAGCCCGATTCTCTCTCTCGTCTCTACGCTGTGGATCAACCTGAGTCACCCCAGCCTGTCCTCCCTGCCTCATGTACCGTTGGAATGGTCACTTGGGAGATAACAGATTTAATCAACGCTGCCCTGGCCACAGAACCTGATCCAGGTAATGGACCACCTAACCGTACCTATGTTCCCTCGTCTGTTAGGTCTCGTCTCATTCATTGGATGCACTCGGCAAGATTCTCTGCTCATCCGGGAGTGAGCCGAACAGTTTCACTGATCTCAAGACGGTTTTGGTGGCCCACTTTGCATCGAGATGTAAAGGAATATGTGTCAGCCTGCTCCACCTGTGCACGGAACAAAGCCTCTCATCAGCCACCCTCCGGTTTGCTGCAACCGCTCCCTGTGCCCTCACGTCCTTGGTCCCATATTGCCATCGATTTCATCACTGGTCTCCCAGAGTCTCGAGGTATGTCAACTATTTTAACCATCGTAGATCGTTTCTCCAAATCTTGTCATCTGATCCCTCTCAGAAAGCTTCCTACGGCCTATCAAACCGCCCAGTTGCTGATCAAGCACGTCTTTCGCCTCCATGGTATTCCCCAGGACATCCTCTCAGATCGTGGTCCTCAATTTGTCTCACAGGTTTGGAAGGCTTTCTGTTCTGCTCTAAATTGTAAAGTGTCACTAACTTCTGGCTATCATCCCCAGTCAAATGGTCAAACTGAGAGGATGAACCAACACCTCGAATCCACCCTCCGCTGTCTCACCTCCAGTAATCCCACCGATTGGAGTCTATATCTCACCTGGATAGAATACGCCCATAACTCACTCAAGTCTGCATCTACCGGTCAGTCTCCCTTCCAAGTTAGCCTCGGCTACCAACCACCTCTCTTCCCTGCAGACGAGAGAGAGATATCGGTGAAGACTGTCAATCACCACATCCGTCGTTGCCAGCATGTTTGGAGAGAGACCATCCAAGCACTCAACCGTTCCTCTGAGTCCTCTAAGAGGTTCACAGACCCCAAGAGACGTCCAGCCCCCGAGTACAAGGTCGGCCAGGAGGTCTGGCTGTCCACCCGGGAAATCCCCCTCAAGGGGATGTCCGGCAAATTATCCCCGAGATTCATCGGCCCATACAAGATCACTCGAGTCATCAACCCCTCCGCCGTCCGTCTTCAACTTCCCCCGACACTCAGGATTCACCCTACGTTCCACGTCTCCCAGGTAAAACCAGTCATCTCTAGTCCCATTTGCCCTCCATCCGACTCCCCTCCACCTGCCCTGGAAGTCGATGGTCATCCGGCCTTCACCGTTCGCCAAATCGTGGACTCCCGTCGGCGCGGTCGCGGTTGGCAGTACCTCGTCGACTGGGAGGGCTACGGTCCGGAGGACCGACAATGGGTTCCTGGTTCATTCATCCTCGACCCTTCTCTCATCGAGGAGTATGAGCGTTCCCTCCCGTCTACCTCTTCCGCACCGCCAAGGGGCGGTCGTGTCTTAATCAGTTGGTTTCCTGTTTTTTCCTCCTGTGAAGCTCTGGAAGAGCTTAACCTGCCGAGCCTGCCCTCCGAGCCAAACCTGAAGACTCACTCTCTGGATTTCCTAGCAGCTCAGGTTTCCGAGCTGGAAACACAAGCCAAGGTCAAACCAGCCTTTAGAAGTAAGACGCTGAAACAGCTTAAGGACTCTGCCAAACCAAGCTTTCTCCGGACCCAACAGTTCCGCTCCCAAAGCCTCATCTACATTCATCAAGACGCCAGTGAACCGGTCCCAGCCCTGAACCATTGCATCAGTCTTTATTATATGTTTGAACTTGCAAATAAACTCTGTTAAACTTTCCATCCGTGTCGTCAGTGTTCTGCATATTGGGCCTCCCTGATACCCATCATGACACAAAGCTTCTGTAATTTGTTTAAGGTTTCATTTCTCAGTTGTGCTTTTATTTCTTTTGCTCTGTGTTGTGGTCAAAATGTATATTATTTTTTAAAACATTTGTTTTATCTTCCGTCTAATCTATTTTTTGCATTATTGGTATTATGTACTCATTGCTATAGTTTGTTAGTTATTCATTCATTGTTATTCATGTTATGATTAGGTTTTAATTTCCATGGCTTCAGTTATCTAGAGTTCCTTCTTTTATCCTCTAGTTTTTCACTTGGTCATTCCTAACTTTGTAATCATTATTTTAATTCACATTTATCCTTATGTGAGTTACTTTCTAGCTTCAGTTGAACCCTGTTTTCCCTGTTTGCGGTTTGTTGCTCCTAGTGCCAGTTATTTCCTCTTAGATCCTTCTTAGCTTTTTCTAAACACACTGGCTCACAATAACCTGATAACACCTTTTATTGTTCTGTCTCCCATATATTCTCCGCCTTTGCGGTTCCTCTGTGCTTTAAACTCTTCTGTTCAACATGCTTGTTTCTCTAGAATGTCTCATACTTTTTTTTCCACCAGTTCCTTGCCTGTTTTTTTTTTTTGGATTTACATCTTTGTACTATCTACATCACCTACCAGACACCATCTCTACCCTTTGTCTCTGCTCTTGAGTCCTCCACAGAACCAGATAGCTTCTAAGCAAATATTTTTGACATTATATAATGTGTTCAACACATTCAAGTAATTCACTGTCACAGTTGAAGCATTTACATGAAAGACAATGATTCTCTGAGGACAAGGTTCCAGCTTTAGCAATAACAGTTTTCTTCACATCATCTACATGTTGTGAAAAGTTGATTATGAGATTTTACACAATTCTCTCTATTACTACACAAACCTTGAGTCGCAGAATCATCCCACTCCATATGGATGTCATTGCAAATGTGTCAATGAAAGCTGATTTTGTACTTTCTGCACAATTGTAGTCATTTATCAGGAGGTGAAGATAAGCGTTGATTGACTGTTTATAAATAAAAAAGCACATTAGTCAGCCATTCACAGAATAAAAAAAACATATGTTTTTTAAGTTTGTAATTAAACTTTCCATTTTGCAATACCTCGCTTTCCAACTCCATGTCTGGACCAAGTTGCTTTATGTCCCAGTAAAAGAGCTTATAGGCACTGATCTTTGAGAGTAACACGTTGCATGTTTTTCCACCCCATGCCTCAAGTACATCTGGATAAAAGAGGAATGGTGACACATTAACATCGTTATACATGAACAGTTATACATTTATAACTAATCTGTTACACTTCCCATTGTGACTTCAATAGATCTAATCAGTTAAGGTGCAAAGGATTTAGTTCCCCTGATATATGTCAGTAACGCTTCGTTTTACAGTACATCTACCATTCTGTCTAACCATTTAATAACATGGTTATAGCATAGCAAATTACACTATAAACTTTAGCCAGAATTTTGTGCTGTGCTTTAAGTTCTAGGCAGACAAGGTAAAGTCAGACTTCTTAAATGTCAATCTGTTATTACCAGCTAACGCATTCATTTCACTAACAAAAATAAATGAATGTGTTTTTATCCAGTTATATGCAGTTTATTACTTGACATATAACAGAAAATGATACCTAGAATACGGCATGCCGATTTTCTTACCTATCTTATTTATATGTAACTTTAGTTGAGTTATATAATGTGTAGGCGACTATCATCCAAAAAAATAGTCACTGAGAGGAGAGCAGGGATCTGTTCGACGCGCTGAATCCAAGGAGGAAACAAAAAGCTTTACTGCAGGTAAGGATGTTTATTGTACTCTTTTTCTGTGAGGCATTGTACAACAGGTAGATTTGCAGACTAATTTGCTTTAAACTTGCGGTCAACAGAAATATTGGCACCCTGCTTTAGCCTCTCTCTGAATCAAACAAACAAAACAGCCTCAGAGCAGATCCAGGTGATATTAATTAGACAATCACTCAGCTCCAGACACATGCCAACACCCACTCATAGCTCCACCCACACATGCCCATAAATACCTTTAACACATGCAGCCTACCCTTAGAGACATGACAAAATTAATCCTTGCCTCTACATAACGCTTTATTTACCTGATCATAGGTTAAAACTTACTTTGTAAGCCATTGGTAGGTGGTGGGCAATAATAGAAACATTATGTTAACTACAACCTTATGGAAATTACCCAGCAAAAGTCTTCATTGTTACATAGCAATGAAACATGCAGGCAATTACTTTGATATTATATACATACATTGGGGGTAATTACCAGATAAAGTTTTTATTGTTACCTAGTAATATAGTGTGACTAACCTGTTATTACATGCTTATTGATGTACTGTAAAAGAAAGTGTTACCTATGCATCTACATAGAAAACTAAAATGTAAACATTAGCTGTAAATTTTCATTTACATTTGTTCAAAAATATAACTATTATTATTTAAATTACACCAAAAAGTTAAAGACAAACTACAAAGAATATATTCCCAGAATGACAGAAGTTTTTCTTCATACATTTTTCTGCATCTGCTTTGCTGTACTTCGGAAAAGACTCAGATTTTGAAGGAGAATCGTTGGCAGCAGCTGAGCATGATAGAGGAGATGCATGGGGTAGAGGAGAAGGGGATGGTGGAGGAGCAGCGGTGGCAGCAGCTGAGGGTAGTGGAGGAGATGCAGTGGGGGCGGGAAAGGGGATGGTGGAGGAGATGGGGATGGTGCAGCAGTGGCAGCAAATGGGGATGGTGGAGGAAATGGGGATGGTGGAGAAGATTGGGATGGTGCAGGTGCAGCAGTGGCAGCAAATGAAAGCAGTGGAGGGGATGCAGGGGCAGGAGAAGATGCATGTGGTGGAGAAGCACTGGCCAGAGAAGCAGGGGGAGTAGCACTTTGTCCCTTTTTTTTTAAACCCCAGTGTGGCACTCTTGCTGTTGGGATTTTGACCAGTTTAAGATGATCTACATTTACTTTTTCGAATATGACACCATTTGAATCCTTAATGTCTGCGCTTTTGTCCTGGATTGATATTACAATGAATGGTCCTAGATAGTTGGCCTCAAGCTTCCCTCCTTTTCTTTGTTGGCTTCTTATGTTGGCTCTTAAGACGCTGTCACCAACTTTAAGGGTTTTAGCGCTTGTTCTGCTTTTCATCCTTTTCTTCATCTTGTCTTGTGCTTTGCTGACATTGTACAGAATGACTTCCATTAGCTGTTCATGTTTTTCAATGTCAAGTGCCACCTCTTCTTGTCTGACAAGATTTTCCACACTGCTGTCCACCTGTTCAATGAAACAAATTTGCTGTAACAAATCTGACAACTGTAATTTTTTATAAAAGAACATATTCCAGACAGAAAAACTTCTAAATTGATAAAATTAAAGTCAATTCCTTGATAGCTCTTAAGTAAAACTGAATTTAATAAAGAGCATTATTTGTAATTATGATGGTTTTTGTAACTGGTAGAACTTATACCAACCATTAACTGCTCTGGAATCTGCAATGGGTAACGAGCCTCTCTGCCAAACATCATGAGGAAAGGAGAGTATTTGGAGGTCATCTGTTTTTTTGTTCTAATTCCAAACATGATGGTCATCAATATACTCATCCCAGGTGTCCGGATTGTACCCTACAACTTTAAAGAGGGCTCTGACAGCATGAAGAAACACAAACATTAATCTGCATGATCTATTTGGTCATGTAGTGAAGACGTTGAATGAAAAACAACCTAGTTTTATGGAGAAGCAAAAGTGACTTAATTTGAAAAAGAAGAAGACATATATTGTGTGTTGTGGATGTTGAAATGATGGAAAGACTAGGTTCATCGAAGCCCCCCTTCTTACCCGCAATAACCATACCAGATTATTTTGAGGTCATTTACTCACTTTATTTTTAGGTAAATAATTTTAGTTTTTGGGTGGTTTCTTTATCTCATTTAATTATTGTTCGAGGTTTTATTTCCTTTAAGTATATGAGGTGGTGTAGGACCATCATTAATCGGGGTTGGGCATATGTTTTTTTTTTTTTTTTTACCAGAACAGGAGAAGCACCAGGAACAAAGACAATGTTGATCTGTATTATGAGTTTGCTACCAGGATTACTAAACATTACAATGCCGTCTTCAATTTTTTTGCATTAGAATTCTTTAGAATTCTACATACACAATATAAGCCCTGTGTAGTCATGGCTTGTTTGAATTTTGGGACGTTTCATTTAAAAAACTTTTACCAGTATGATGTTCTGACCACCTTAAACTGTTGCCAACACAACAAAAACAGGTTGTTGCCGCTCAAGATAAATAACTTAGAGAACAAAATGAATGTAAAGGACTAATGAACAATAAAAACAAAGAATCTTTATATACAAACAATGCCTACATAATGGCAATGATAAACAAAAAACATGCATGTTTTTAGGTCAATTGAAATCATGGCCTTGAGCCCAGGAGCTGAAAGCTGCATTAGTAGTTTATGCTCTCTAGGCCCAAATTAAGTTTAATATTATGTCTTTTCTGCTGAGGAAAGCAGTGGTACAATAAATGTTTGTACCCACATGCACAGGGATAGATTGTTTGATTATGCTGTTGTTAAATTCTAATGTATATGTCTTTATCCATTTGTATTAATAGCTGTAACATTCATAGTGTGAGGGTATACACTGCATGAAAAGTGGGATTTTCGTCAATATGCGGCACTGTAGATTGTCGTGGAACTTCAGGTTAGCGGCAGTTTACGGCAATTTGCAGGCTTCGCCGAAAACTCCCATAAATTGTCAGAAATTGATGTGCACTTTCTTAGGCAGTGTTACCCCCATGCCTCCCCCTCATGGAATTCTAGGGGAGGCTTTAACATGTAAATGAAAATGCTGTGAGCTATACAAATGCAAATCAGGGTTGCAGGGGGAGTTTTACCCCAAGTGACATTTTTCTAAAAGGTAAGAAAATCTCTGATACAAATAGATCAGGCTCAGTATAGCCTCTTACATTTTAGCTTGAATTGATTTATTTAATTAAAGTATAGAGACCAAAACAGATCTTTAGCTGACAGAGCAATACATGTCATGATGGGTGTCACAGAGAGTAAGCCCAAGATGCAGAACACACGGAGGCACTGGTAAAAGTCCAAAGAGTTTATTAAAGGCTCAAGCACATGAATCACAGTTCAGGCAGGGGACTGATTCGCTGGGGTCTGTGCGGGGAAAGGGAGATGGCTGGATTTGAGCTTCCAGCTCACTGCAGGGAAACAACAGGGGAAATCCACATGGGAACCTCTTAGGGAAACTCCACAGGGGAGTCGACAGGTAGCATCCACGTAGACTTCTTGGGTTGGCACACCAGGGCAGATTAGCAGGTTAGCTTTCCTAAAGCGTCAGGCTTGGGACTGGCTTCCTATGATGCAACTCTCCCAGAGCTGCAGGCCAGAGACAGGTTGCCAGAGAGACAGTTCTTCCAGAGCTTCACAGGGAAACAGGGGGTTAAGCTCATCCAGAGCTTTCACAAGGAGACAGGTGGTTAAGCTCATCCAGAGCTTTCACGAGGAGACAGGGGGTTAAGCTCATCCAGAGCTTTCACGAAGAGACAGGATTCCTGTGAGGCAGAGACAAGGAAGAATTAGAATCTGATCTCACATTAGAGATAACAAAGATTCATCTGAAACAGAGGTTCAGGAAGCTAACCAACTAAGATCAACACTGCGGCGTGGGATCAAGGTCAGGCAGGAGCTTATAAAGGAGAGGTCTTCTAATGAGAGGATTAGGAACAGGTGTGCAGGAAAGTTCCAGCTCCAGAAGACCCACAGCGCATCCTGCTGGAGGCAGAGGGTAATCTCCAGATCCCCACAGTAACTCCAAACCTAAGGGAAAAACAAAGAGAGCAGAAGAGGATCCTCGGCGCCCTCTGGTGGGCAAGCCTCAGGATCCCAACAGAGCCCCCCCCTCAAGGGCGGATTCCAGACGCCCCCAGAAAAAAAAAGTCAAAAAAAAAAAAAAACAACAAAAAACAACCCACTAAGGGTGGGCGGAGGGGGGGCACTAGGGTGAGGAGGGCCAGAGACAACAGAAAATAGAGTCCAGAAAACAAAAACAACCCACCCAGGGCGGGCGGAGGGGGCACTAGGGCGAGGAGGGCCAGAACCAACAGGAAAAAAGGTCCAACAAACAAAAAACAACCCACCCAGGGTGGGCGGAGGGGGAAACAGGCTAGGAGGGCAGAAAACAAAAACAGAGTCCAGAACAAAAAACGATCCACTTATGGTGGACGACAGCAAAAGAAAACCCAAAAACTTTCTTGGGCACAGTCTCTGGTGGCCGGCCGAGGGACTGGCAGCGGGACAGATTCTCAGGTGACCGGCCGTGGGGCCGGCTGCGGGACAGATTCTCAGGTGGCCTGCCGTGGGGCCGGCTGCGGGACACAGTCTCAGGTGGCCTGCCGTGGGGCCGGCTGCGGGACACAGTCTCAGGTGGCCTGCCGTGGGGCCGGCTGCGGGACACAGTCTCAGGTGACCTGCCGTGGGGCCGGCTGCAGGACACAGTCTCAGGTGACCTGCCGTGGGGCCGGCAGCAGGACACAGTCTCAGGTGACCTGCCGTGGGGCCGGCAGCAGGACACAGTCTCAGGTGACCTGCCGTGGGGCCGGCAGCAGGACACAGTCTCAGGTGGCCTGCCGTGGGGCCGACGGCGGAGACGTAGTTGCTGCTCAGGAGGTCGACCGTTGTGACGAAGGTGGAGCAGAGTCTTAGGGGGACCACCGCCGAGCCGGAGACAAGGTTGAGGTTCAGGACGCCGGCAGCGGGGTCGAAGGCAACGCTGACACTCTGGGGGTCTGCCACGGGGTCGACGGTGAAGATGATGCTCCGGGGGTCTGCCGCGGGGCCGGAGGCGAAGCTGACGCTCTGGAGGTCTGCCGCGGGGCCGGAAGCGAAGCTGACGCTCTGGAGGTCTGCCGCAGGGCCGGAGGCGAAGCAGCTTATCAGGAGGATGACGCCCAAGCTTCAGCAGGTACCCCCACGGGGTACCCCGTCCCCTCCTCGGCAGCTCAGGAACAGTGTCAGAAACAGCCGCCGACTGCGGCTCTTGAGGAGGCTCAGAGGAGACCGCCGACTGCGGCTCTGGAGGAGGCTCAGAGGAGACCGCCGACTGCGGCTCTGGAGGAGGCTCAGAGGAGACCGCAGACTGCGGCTCCGGAGGAGGCTCTGAAGAGGCCGCCGACTGCGGCTCCGGAGGAGGCTCTGAAGAGGCCGCCGACTGCGGCTCCGGAGGAGGCTCTGAAGAGGCCGCCGACTGCGGCTCCGGAGGAGGCTCTGAAGAGGCCGCCGACTGCGGCTCCGGAGGAGGCTCT